TCTAGTATTATAAACGCAATAATATTGGATCTGACTGAATGTAATTTCTTGTCGTATCTGACAATGAAGTACATAATTAGGTTAATCTTAGATGAAACCAATACGAAATCTCATACGAAAGAAAATAATATATCGTCTACTAACTAATAAGTTAATACACTGAATGAATACCAGTGATTTGCTCATTTCCTACCGTAGGTTAATTAGCATAAATATCGAGTGTCGAGTTACCGGTTGATATAGTTTATTGTGGTCAGGACTGGTTCAGAACCCACACGGCATGTGGGCGGACTGCCCTCCATGCGATTCGCTGCTCTTCAACCATTTGAAAGTAATCCCTTTAAATATTCAACGGGTTATGATAACTTTTTCTCATCTTACAAGGATAAGTTTACTCTTTGTCAACGTATTTAGGCTTCCACATTTAGCCAAAATTCTTTAACCGAACATAACATTATATTTACGTCGTAGCCCAATGAAACGAACAACCCATTCGAATCAAAATACGGTGTTAAATATATTATCTAATAATTCACTGCACATTTATGACGGATAACCGTCAGAACTGAAAATGATTCTGAACAAGGTAGGCGTTCCCTATTTATTATAACGGAACCATCAAGGTTAATTTCGACTATTATTAACTATGTACTACTAAAATTCAAATACTAAAATAGTATGAAATTGTTTAGATGTAGTGCCTAAGACTTTTAGTAAATTTCGTCAATCAGACCGTATATGTAAAGCATTATCTTTCAAACCTAAGTGATAAGGGGTGTCCCATAATTTTATTTTTATTTTTTAGACAAAAATTTTTGTTTTTATTTTTTTTATGATACACCATACAAAAATACATACAACCCTTAATTTTCATCTACCCTCTACGATCAACCCCTATTTTTTATTATTGTAGATAGTTTGTTTTATTGAACTAAAAAAATGTTTCCTAAAAATAATATACATGGCAAAACAAACGTTTGCCGGGTGAGCTAGTTATTTATATAAAATAAATTACTAATGTAGAGCGAACTAATCCTAATAATAAACTGCGTATATGTGTGCATTAATCATATCTTTTCGAAATTATTTCATATATTTCCGAGTACACAGTTTATAGCTAGTTCGAAAAGATATGATTAATGCACACATTATTACGCCGTACCTTGGACACATACATAATGTGTCCAAGTTACGCAGACAGTATATTAATAGGAGCTAAAACAAGAACCTGCTTTAAAAGTGAGAGCTTTTTTGTAAATAATAATAAGAGGTACCAGAACTTCTTAAAATCTGTTAAAACCTGTTAACCTGTCAATATGTTAACTAAGAATGGAATAAGATAAAGGTTTAATTACAACTCAATAGCTTGAATAAATAATGAAGTAAGAGTCACACGTTTAAATAAAAATAAATTAAATGGACTTCCAATTAAATTACTAAGCTACGTGACGAGTCTGTAATCGGTACAGTATCTCAGGTAAACGGTAGTCATTAACGAGATTCCCGCTGTTAATTATTCGAAAAGGTTTTAAATGTCCATTTGCCGAACTCGGAGAAGATCAAAAGTTAACTTCGCTTTTGCCGTTTATTAACTAAAAGTCAAAGTCAAAAATCATTTATATAATCATATATTTTATAGGTAACCAAATAAACATAAAAAAGGAAACGTACATTAAATGCTTCTAATTTTGCATTTACTGCTAGTTCTCAAATCAAGGGCGTAGAACGGAAGAGAAGAACTGGCAATAAACTCTCCGCCACTCTTTTTAATCGCCAAGTTTTTTTGTTTTACACAACGTTTGTAAGGAGCTGCAACCATTACACCACGTTCCACATGACATCTTAAGTAATAAATAATAATAAAATAAATTAAAAACAAATATTTGTCCTCTATCAGCAGAAGGCATGGTGAAATAGGAGCACGCACTTACATTTTCGTAGGTAAAGTACGAAGAATATTAAGAAACTGATTAAAGTTACTATATAGTTTGCGTGCTTAAAGCAGTAGCGTACGCACACCACAAATTTGTTCAGTCAATTAGTTGAACCAGTGAAGAGGAGCTTAGTGGATATATTGAGGAGTTACCTACCGAGAACGTGTGAACATTTTAATTGGTTTGAAATTCTCGTTAGGGGACATCCCCATCTTTACGAATATTTATTAAAGAAACACGCTGCGATATGTTATTTTAACATTTACAAACGATTTATAATTTCGTATAAAAGTGTGAAATTGTGACTACAATATGTTACTAAATTTCGAATGGAGACGTTAAAAAGTATGTGTAAAAATCCACATGCGATAGTGTCATAACTCATGTGACAAATGTATTTGTGAAACAACTCCAAATCCCACATGAAGTATATAAATCATGTGTAACAATTAAATAAATATATTCAATTATGACATCGCCATGAGCATTCATAAAAATCAAATCTAATAAGTAATTAACATTTGCAATAATGAACTTACCGGTATCACCCACGACTGACGTTTAAATTTTTACATTGTGCTTAATGTAATTAACTTGGAAAAGTCAATGATACACGGTATAAGAGTAAAATGGAGCGAGTACATCGCATCTTCGTAAATTACATGGAATAAGTGTGGGTTGTCTTCTCGGACGAAATTGGATACCATCCAATTGTGATAAGACTATTTATCTTTAAGCACACAACACTTATACCCAAGTCTAGACTCTGCAATGGCTAGAACTAAAATAGTGACTAATTTGTACCACTCATATATAATTTGGTAACTTGGTAATCGTCGATGTTGCCCGCGAAATTATTCTTAAAAATAAGATACAAAATATGTCATCCAGGACAACATTTGGCACAAATAAAAGTAGACTTGCTCAGTTGTTTATTCTTCAGAAATCTAGAGCGCATTTCTTCAAACAATCAAAAATTTGAATTATTAATTTTAAAAAATGACAGCTTTGTGTAAATCATACAGGAAGTTAATTTATTTAGGTTGGCTGTCGTAATTTTTAGTAATATTTTAAATTTTACTTGACTAGTAGGTAAGTATATTATTATGCGTGAATACAGTAACTCGATAAAAGTACGATCGAATGAAAACATGCAGCGAAAACAGCGATAGTCTGCATTCTTGATAAGGGCAACGTACTTCTGATAAATACTGACTAAGATATCAAATTATAACATGTTACTCAATAAGTAAAACCAATCTCGGACAGAATATATACGATGTGGCATGGCACATGTATGCCGACCTTCGCATTTATGACATCATAGCTTCTCATTACGATCTTAGATAATAAAATAAATCTGTCTTACCAACTCGTTTTATCGTTTTCATTCGTTATCGTAAGATGTTCCGCCACGGAAAATCCAAAGTAAGAGCCTTCCTCGCCAAACTTTATCACAGGAATCCTTGGCTCCAAGTTAAAACTACAAACACTGTATAAAATGCACAAAAACAAGGCACTTGTAAATTTTACTTTCGAAGCCATCGTTCAAATTGTATGATTATTGTGTTTTAAAACGACTTATCGGAATAATTCACTGTGTACTATTTATAATTTGGCACATCTCGATTTTCGTATGATTACTTCGAGCCGCCGGGTGAAGAGACCCCCAGCGTAGTTACAGTTCGCCGGTCGAGTACTCACTATTCTGAATTCTGTAATCTGTGTTCTCATTTCCCGCTTAACATTATTCACGTCAATGTCAAATTTTCAACTGTCAAACTTAACCAAGTAAACTTTTAACTAGAACAGTGACATCTAGCGAAATATGTGTTAACTATATGTAAAAACGTTACTAATTTGAGGTTAAGGGGCCTCATAGCCTAGCGGTCTTATTAAGTGGCAGCTAGGTGAGGGGTACCGGGTTCGATTCCCGGTTCGAGGGCAAGTTTTAATTTAATTTAAATTTGTTCTCGGCCTTTGGGAGGGTTGTGCGGTACCGGGCGAGTGCCTAAACCGTACATGGAGGACATCGTCGAATTTCTAAGGCAAAAAGCACGATTTATAAAACTCTTATACTTGACGCTGGCTAATGCACAAACCGTGCCAGAGCCATAATAATAAAAAAAAAATTGAGGTTAAATATTTACTAAATAATCAAAGCCATATGTGACAAGATACAAATATGTATAGACAAGAAAATATCTAATTCAAATTTTAATGCTGAATTCCGCTTATATACTTAGTAATAATTAATCTAAAGGTAAAATAATCATTTCCCTTTTTGTGATCAGAATGAAAACAAACAAAAATTAATGAAAATATTTCATTTCTCTTGGAATCATATACTTAGAAAGTACCCTGCAATTATTATAATTGAAATGTCAACAGCCACTGAATTTATTTTGATGAATTTTGGTTTACGGCTATGGTTTAATGGGAACTTTATACTCAAAGCTTTTCATTCTATTTATTAAAGGTGGTATTATAATATTATTAATTATAGGTATGTAGGGTTTGTTAACGATAAATTAAAAATAAATATAAATTGAAAATATATTTTATTGTACATACATTTAAATATATTCAAGAACATACATCATATCAATCAAATGTTTCATATAGTTATTGGCAATCCCGCCAGTATTCAGTATCGGTTTAGTCTTTTGCTACTCTCTCCAGATGTTACGTCCAAGCTTTAATAATAAAAATAACACAAGTCAAATGAATACTGATTAAGAGAGTCAATAAACAGGAAAAAAGGAAGTTTATTATATTAATGTTGTCGGATACTGAACTAGAGCCTAGAAAGGTTAAATCTAGGCTCAACGAACTACATTCCGTTGTCAGGTTCGAGCTAAAGGTGTCCTCTGCTCAGTTGTGCGCCGATTGAAGCGAAATCGCGATCGAAACCCTCGAATACCGAGTAAGGCTTCGATCGCGAACTCATGACTAAATCGATTAGTTTGACCGAGCCTATGTCGAGCCAGGTAAGATTTGTTGGTATTGCAATGCGATAAGATAATTATCGTAAGCGTCGCAATACCATTCGGATCCGGAGACCTCTTAGGGGAGGGGGTGGAAAGTGAGCTCGGTTTGAGAGTGAGCGAAGAGCAGGTTGAGCTGCGAGTCCAGACCGACGTTGAAGACTTTCACCAGTTTGGCGACATTTTGGCCCGGATCTTTGCGCACGAGGGCCACTCCGGACACCTTCATGAGGTGCACTTCGGAGTCAGCAGAACCACCCCCGGTCGTGGCCAACTTCACGTGGCAAGTGACGTCCACCTGGATGTACTTCTCGACCGCTTTGCCCCTCTGCCCCGGAATATCTACGTATTCGGTCTTCTCCTCGACCTGGGGTAAATCGGCGCGGAACACGATCGCTTCGCCCAGCAAAAGTCCCTGAAAAATGTAAGGTTATCACTTAGAAGACTCTGAGTGCGAAACTCGCGACTATAATTGACCGTCAGGAAATCAATTAGCAGACGAGAATTCCATGCACTCGTCTTACCAAAAATACATTTGGCAAGTTTCCAGAGGTGAACTAGTGCGCTTACCCCGTTTCCTGTAATAGTAAATTTCATGTCGGGATGCAGTGCGCGAGTTTCCATTCCTAGCCCCTCGGGATGAGAGTCGGACCAGAAGTAGTTGTCGGGGGCGTTGAGGGAGTCCGGTTTGAAAGTGATGCGTTTTCCGTAGCCCAAGCCGATGGACTGCAAGAGCAGACTGCGCCCGTCGAACAGATGACGACGGGAGTTCGCGGGACGCACGCGGTAGTGGAATCCGGGGACGATTCGAGGGTCCACGTAGGTTCCTGAAATGTAATCAGCCGTGGTTATTAAAAATATATAATTTTTATTATAGTAAAAGCAAAAAGTTTATCTTAATAAAATTCGAGGTCACTGATGGGCTAAAGATATTTACCGATAACGGGGAGTTCGTATCTCTCCAGCCCCACCACACAATATTGGCAAGGGATGTCCTGAACATCCGCTCCGTTCACAGTGATTCTGCGGGAGGATGATTTGATACCAGGTTTCAGCTCGTATCCCTTCTTCAGTTGTTTGATTCCGATAGCTACGTTGACGATCCTGGACACGATTGCGTTACCGCGCCCCTTCTTCAGTAAAGCAACTCCCGAGACGGGTACCAACTTTGTAGCTCCATCGTTCTCATACCACTCCACTTTGCAGAGGGTATTTATCTTAACTTTCTTTTCGATCGATCCATCCTCAAATATCTTTTGATCCAGCTCTAATTGGTTTTTCTGGGAAGAAAATTATAAAAATTATGCCAGGTGTGAACATTACGAACGTCAAATTCAAGATATGTTTATGAGATCGGCATAGTCTACCTGCTGCTGAACGACTTCAAGAGTTCCCTGTGGCTCGTGGTTCGCGTCATAGATCGTAAATTTGTCTCCCGCTGAGACCGCTTCAATTTCAAATACGAATCCTTCGGGACGCGAGTCCGTCCAGAAGTAGTTGGTGTTATCATTGAGCGTCGAGTCCAGGGGTTCCAAAGTGATACGACGAGCGAATCCTCGACCAATGGACTGCAGCGTCAGAGCCTTGCCATCGAACAAATACCTTGGCTTCACTGACAGGGGCTGAGCATCCAAAGTCTGAAAATGTCCAGTACATTATTTATACACGGAAGTGGAAGAGAGCTCATGGATTTAAACAATTGAGATCTACAAAGTTTTATACAAAATCTATTTCTAAACAATAAATAAAGCTATAAACAAAAGTTTAATGAAAAAAAATTAACAATTGAATTTTCTTAAATGCCCATAAAACCCTTTAAAATATGATACAAGCTTTATGTGAAATGAATGAATGAGTGTTGATGAGAAATGTTAAGAGGGACTCAACAATCAATGGCACGAAGCCCTTATGAATGATACTTATGTTTACCTAGATGCCACACATGCCGTCAGCCAGTCTATATCGACCTGTCGGGTCTCGTTCTGCGCTCGTATCGCCTCACTGGGCGTAGCTCTGAAAAACTGGACGATCCACATACCATCGCCTACATCGACACACAACAAGTGGCAAACGCTCGCCAGTTAACAGTGTTGGTCGTTGGTGATATTTTCATTCTGGAAATTTCAGCAACGGACACTCTAACTCTAACCCCGCGAACCTAATCGTCCCCGCTGCTGACCGCTGGAACTAGCTATAGGCCGTTTGTAGGAGTTGAATTTAAACCTTTTTCACTCGTGTGTTTGGGAAACAATCAAAAGTCCTATACAGCATCTGTCAACATTCATTGTGAGGTTGACATTACATTGCAACACACAGGTGCAAGGTTTACAAACATAACTATGTTTTGCTAATTAATTTACAACGCACGCGGAAGCAAAGTACGATGTCTGAATGTCCTCTTAATTTTGTTATTAAATATATCCACAGAATTAATGACATGACCTTATGACAACCTCACTAACGATATCCTTTACACACCATAGACGTGATTAAAAGGTACAAAGACTTGCCGTTTGCGGTTTTGTGACGAACTTTAGAGAAAATTCTTGTTTATTTGTTTTTTTTATATATTTTTGTTTGTTCATTAACATTTTTGTACGATTTGTTTGGATAGAACTCACCATCCTTTAGGTTCTGTAAAAAGCTAATCATACAAAAATGTTCGGGTTTACCGCAAAGGACGCCGGGATTAACGTAAAATTATTTAAAATGTACTTAATGAAAAAAATGTAATCGTAAAAGCAAATAGAACGATACCATGTTGCCAGATAGCCGTTTCATATTCGTCTAAACTCAATTCCTTTTTCTTCTATAGCTGTTCCTTTCGCAGTTCAGTAAATGAGATTTTGCCCAATGTTTAATGGATCTTCAAAGTTTTTCCCACCGAATAGAAAATACACATACGTGTCAAAATGGCTTTTTTTAATTCGATGTGACCACGTAAGCAACAATTAAGATTTGAGAAATAGTTGCTATTTTTAGTCAATTGCTATTTAAATATTTATTAAGACTTAAAAACGGACGGAAATGTGGAAGATTGCGATCGCTGTTAACTAATTAAGTGCATGCAATCTTCAACACTTCTTCGCAACGATTCCTCAAATTGCCACATAGATGAAGATTGAGAGGATTGAGGAGGATTTCTTGTCTCACCTGCATCGGTCTTATTTTGTATCTGAAGCCCGTTCTGACTCTGGGGTCGATGTAGACCCCGATGACTGGCATCTGGTGAGGAGCAGGCTTGGGCACGCGGTACACGGCGGGGATGTCTCCCAGACTGCCGGCGTCTAGAACGGCTTCCTTGTCGTAGTCGCTTTCGGTCCAGTAGCTCTGACTTGGAACCTCATGTTGGTCCTAAAAAAATCCGCAAATAACATATTGTAGACTTTACGGATCACTGCACTGAACCTACCTGACGATAAGCAACTATGCACTCGCAGAAATAACAGTTACATTTGAAGCATGGCGTCTCCGTTTTGAGCATAATAATTTTAATTAATTGCTAACAATAACCGGCCGTCTAGTCGCCCCGAAGCATAATAGGAGACACACACGAATGTTTATGTGTTTCTACGATTTGGCACCGGTTCCTACACCTGCATGCAAAGTTGGCATTTGATATGGATATTATTCGAAGTACGCTTAAAATGTTCTTTGTGATATTATTGTGTCTACTTTAACTTTATAAATGAAAACAGCGAAATCATTCCATTCCCATTAGATGTCGCTCTGACTCGATCTTATATTAACAAATCGACACTATCGTGAACTTGTAATGAAATTCAAGTATGGTTTCAACCCATCAATGTAAGCGTTCATTTGGTTTCTATTGAAAGCAATATTGGAAGCTCGACGCGAGACAATTGATTTGTAAACTCAAGGATGAAACGAGAGCAAAGTCCACCACACGGCTTGATTTATTTTTGCTTCCAGACTATTTTGGGCACATCGTGTAAACATTTTTGTCAACGACGTCAATCATTTTGGTGTTCTCGTTTTAAGATATTGTATAATTCTTACAACGTTGGTCGTTGACAAATAGTTGTCTTTTGTATAATCAAGATTTCACATCGATGACTACTTAAAATTCGAGATCACATCAAAGCTGCAAAAAGTAGGTCAAATGCAGATTTCAGGAAAACGACAACGATGTCCAAAACAGCTCACGAACCTTGAGTTTAGGAGCGTGACTTATGAAGGTAAATATTTATAAAAAAACAATCATAAAGAAACCTCGCTAGAGTGAACGACCTCGTGAATGAGTATCGATGGATCGCAATAAGTTTAATGCTGATAAACATAATATTAATTAATCTCATCGATGTTCTTCGGTCCCGTTACGTACAACAATGATGTATAGATAAGGGCGTGTCGCACTTAACTTAATTAACCCATGACACTACCTTGCCTTACTTAGGAGGGTCTGTAAACAAACTTTGTAAACAATTTGCAGTATAAAGTAAAATTGTTAGGAAAATTACCGGATGAAGTAATTTTTTTCCATTACGAGGGTAAGGATTATCCTAAATTTAGTTTTTAAAATTAAAAGACAAGTATGTAAGCACTGAATTGGATAAAATAATAGTTTCGTACTACTAACTTGAGAACTGTCTTTGAAAAAATGTTCGAATATGCTTTTGTATTCGAAGTGCAAACACGTTCCTTTCCTGTTATTGTTAAAAACGCAGCCCAGTATTGATAATAATTTTACACAATAGTACGGCATTCATTCGCATCAGTGGCTTACCGGCCACGGACAGACCTTTATTTATATATTATTATTCCTTTATAAGTTTAATATTTAAATTTAATTTATCAAACTTTAAAGAAAACTTATACTTACTAGTATTTCCAATTCAGGAAAGGCTTCTTCTACGTCACTCTCATAGTCACTCGGTACTGGGAGCTTAGGAGCTCCTTCAGGTTCCTATAAATAAAATAGTATGTTATATTTATAAAACTATATTTATCCGAGTTTTATACTTTTTTTAAGTATACCCAATTTAATATACATAGAATAACTCGAAAGTCGATTTAAAATGCATGCAACGACAGAAAATGTTCACAGCACAAGGCCATTATGACCTTTACTTTATTGATTAACAACTGCGTCAAAAATGTTGTCCCTAAAAGGAATACCTATTTTAATTATTTTATAACCGTTTTTATAATTCATTTCCGTAATTTCTACAAAATGACGCCATGTTTTTTTTGGAAAACGGAAGTCCTACTTGTCTTATAATAAGCAATTGAAATTTACCGAAACGGTCGATAAACCGTACCAAATTTATAATGTATATGGGAGAAAGGCGATATCTCAACATATTGCGCCACATCAATGGCGATCTCAATCTTTAAGCTTATAGTACTTAGTTTAGGATTTCATTGACAAGTGCGCTTACATAATTTTATTACATAATTTTTGGAAAAATTCTAAAGTAACTTATTAACCCGTTAGTATTATACTTTGAAATATATTATTATTACAATTTATATAATTACCTGAGCTGGAAGTAAAGTGTCCACTAAAGCCGGTTCATCAAGGGTCGTAGAAGTGCCGGCCAAACGAGCGCGAGTGAGGTTCCACATACGGCGAAGGGCGTAGGGAGTCTCCTCGGCTTGCAACTCCATTGCAGGACTTGACAACATATTGTTTGTTGATTTACTGTAATCAATAACATTGTAAGGGTTTTAAAGTAAAACTATATAAAAAAAACCAGAACAATTATATCAATAATGAAACGTTATTTTAGGTATAATATTAATAATTACATAGAAAGGAACGATGGAAATCATTTCGAACAAAACCCCGGAGTCGTATATTTCAGCAAGAAAGTTAAATAGGTCAGTACCGATGCATCTTTTATATTTAGATCGGGATGACGTTCTTCACGATCCTATCCCACGATAAAGAAATTAAATACCAATTGAGAGATAAAACGATAAGATATGAAAATATCTTATAGTATCGCAACTTGATTCATTGATTTTCTTGACAAGGACTTTTCTCAAATTTATGACCTATTTTCTTATCATTATCTACGAGTATATTCTACAATAATATAATCCTTTATTTGACTGTAACTTGACGTGCGCCATTTAATTCACAAAAAAATATTTTATGAAAAATAACAAAGTTTTAAAAAACGTGTCTACCCTTGAAAGGACTTGTGCAGGTACAATTTCTTTCTCCAAATACGGAATAATGTATGACAGGTAGACCAAATACCAAACCAGTTTTTATTCAAAAAAATTGGTCAACTGTATGCAGCTGTTTCAAAATACGTTTGTGTGAGCTTTGATTATTTCTTTGTATGATTCTGTTAGACAAGAATTTTAAAATAATGTTTTAATGAAGGTCGTAAGCGGTAAGATTTACCCTAAAGCCCCAGTAAGATTAAGAAAGTAGTCAAAGGTTGATCAAAATAATTGTTAATTAATAAGGAATTTACAACACATAATGTGTGTTATTAATTACTTTACTCGATTAAGTTGTCCTAAAACAATTGTCTGGACCACTACATACACAAGGAAAATAAATATAAACTCGAAGTTTAAAAAAAAAAACAAGTAGGTAGATAAATTATTAAATGTTGACAAACAACTTAATTTGCCGCCCCAACCTATAATTTACTAGAAAGTGATTAGATTAAACGTATCCGAAGAAGAGAAAGCGGCGCCCACTATGTGATGTCGGCCATTTGCTGAGCTCCCGTTAAAGAATCACTCGGTTGTTTCTAGAATATTCCACGGAATACCATAAGATCACCTTAGAATTTCATATTTAGATCTTTTCAAACTTTTCATTAAAATATTTTTGACATTTATTATTATATCCGTAACTTACCAAAGGATTAAATTAAACGTAGCTGATTTTAGATATCAGGGGTATTTTCCAAGTTGCACAACAAGTTAAATCTGTAATACAAAAGTCACTCCTTAACACTGTTGAAATTCAGCAAGCGTATTGAAGCGCACCTCGAAGTCTCGAACACGACTGAGGGTGAATATAACGTCGGAGGTATTTTAACTTCACTAATCAGTCCTCCCCATGCACTAGTCAAGAGTGAGAGGGATGACGCTATAGGTAAGAAAGAGATGTGGATATAACCACGCGCGGACCGCGTGCTCTGGCCAGACAGACATACACAGAAACACACACAACGGTAAATGTACACATACATCCGTGCTATTGATAGGATTCAAAACGGTCGACGTCACAGACTGGCCTCCTTTCAGAGCGAAGTTCAGGTGAGGGTGTTCCAAACGCACGGTTCATTTGTCAGATTCTTAGATGTTTCTTTGCAGGACGACAAAATCGGATGGAAAGGTTCCTGCTTTGGTGCTCATCTCTCACGTATTATTGCCAGAGAATCAATAGGTAACAATAAAAATTGATAATACTACACATTTTTGATAACAAATTTGTAAAAAGCTTAAAATAAAGTGACTCGCAAATATACGAAATCATTGTGATGCTTTAAATCGTTTTTTGCCAATTAATGTTTTAGAGTAAGCACATATATTTGTGATATAAAATAATTATTCCAACTAAACTAAACTAGTATGATAAAATTTGTTGATTTAGTTGTTAAATTGGACTTTATCTGTCTCAAAACAGTCCTGTCTTGAATTCTTCAATAAAACGGTTACATATATCATTTGACAAAAACGCAACTAAGAAATAGGTACATATGATAGACACGTGTTCATACAAAGATAAAATAAATGTGATGAAGCAATATAATAATAAAGGAAACCAGACACAACCAAAACGTTTTAGATACGTAAAACAAACATGAGTTTCCGCATTATTGGGCTTCTATCTGGATCATGGATGAGATAAGACAGCCTTATCGTCAAACTGTGAATCTCATTTATATTGCTCTGAAAGCGCTTGATAAGTTACTATTTGCATAGTTATCTAATACTCATCACGAGTATAGGCCATAAAAAATTACCCAAAAAAAGGTTTTATATTTTTTTTCTTCACGATGTTTCCTTCACCGTACGAGCGAACTAAATGCGCACATAGGCGGACAGTCCATTGGTGCACAGCCGGAGAACGAATCTACAACCTCAGGGATGAGATCGTGCACTGAAGCCACTACGCCAATGCTGCTTTGATTAGAATAGAATGTTAATAATATTAATTTCCTTTTCAATACGGGCATATGTGCTAAATAACTTTAAATTAAATATTTATAAAGTCATTCTTATATACGTTAATAAATAAATAGTACATAATCCAACAAGATGTATTTGGATGATTTTGGAATACCGTTAAATTAGTCACTAATTGTTCTAAGAATTAAATTTCATAAGCTATTTAACACTAGGATTACGTCGTTTCTTATCAGCTCATTAAAATAACATATTAACTAAATAAAAGTGTTAACTAAAGTGTTGATACAACGAATGCTTATTATTCTTATCCTTAAGACATTTGAAACGGACATTATGATTCTTAGAAGACCATGTTTTATAAACTGACGATTGACTGCAGAACTTGACTGCTTACGATGTGTTGAACTTTGAACTACATAGTATACAAACGTTTTTAACCTACTTAGATAACACTTGGTAAAATTTTATATAAACGATTCCAATATATGTATACCTATTTAATATAGAAAGTCTGTTAGATCAAAAACAGTTTAAAGGTTCAATACAATTTCTGGGTTCGTAATCAACAATTTCACTTTGACAAATTCTGAGAAGCGACCTTAATTGATTAGTCTATTAACTTTAAACGCCATTTCTTAATTAGTTTATATCTTACACATTTCTATAAGTTAAGATTGTGTAGAATTTTACCTTTGCTTATACAACAATCCTAGTTCTAAAACAAATATTTATATAGGCAATAGTCTCTATAATATGCGTCTCGAATTCCATTGAAGTTGTAGAACTATGAACCTAAATAAGGCACGTATTAAAACGCTAAATATAGAAAAGAATAGGAGCTGATTTAACTTACTTGACAAATATTTCAGTTATCGTTTCGCTTGTAGTAATTGTCGTCAGTCACGCTTCTGCCCTGATGTTTTCCTCTGATGTCTTCCTTGAGGCTAAAGCAACGCGTCACAATAACTTAGTTGAATGATATTAGTACCAGAGAGAAGTAAAATACGTCAGAGACCCTGGTGGTCGCCCCTTGTCTAGTAATAAATAGGGGCAGGATTGTATTTCTATAAATATCTTTATATATTATGTAATACGGCTTTAATGAACAATGAACCGTAGCGGTTACGGTTAATGAAACATTAGTTTCCACTGGGTAATCATTTTTTATAATTATAAAGCTATATAATAATAATACAATGCTCTCGGAGTGCAATATAATAATGCTTTCAGGATGTTGTTGGGGCTCCCGCGGTACTGTAGTGCATCAGGTATGTTTGCAGATGCACACGTGGATGATTTTTCGTCAATCATCCGCAAACGGACAGCCTCACTGATGCGTGGGGTTCGTGCGAGTTCTAACAATATCCTGATGGTTATAGGTAAACCCGAATGTGCTGTTTTGAGACATTGGGTTCATATACATGCCTGTGTACCTGGTGCCTCGAATCAACGTAGATATATGAATTAAATGTTTTCTTCTTTGTGTCTTTAATAATTTTGCTAAATTTAATTTTAATTTTACTAACATAGTTATAAGGATTACTTTACTAACAATATGTGGATTTTTTAATGGTCTGAATTAAATGATTTTTATTTATTTTTTTTATTTTTTTTATAATTCCTCAAGGATATTAGTAGACTTATTTTCAATCCTTAATTATCCAAAACGGAAATTACAATGGATTACGATATTATTTTTACCTGCTCGGTCTTTAATGTCTCTAACCTTCTATCTTATAGCGTTTCTTCTACGAGTTCATAGACATTAGAGGCCCATCTGGAAGAAAAAGCAAAAAAGCAACATTTGTAAATAATAAATTATTTTTAGGGTAAAACTCCTTACTTGTCACGAAAGATGTCTTTACTACATGAATGGAATTAAACCGTTTGTTGCACTAATACTTCTGAAAAGTTATCAAGAAAAGATTAGAATCTAGACTAATCTGCGCCCTCGACATACGTCCATGCAACATATTTTTTATATTTTTAAAAATCTATAGCCGCTCCCCCCTCCGATGAACATTATATAGATTTTTTCTTTTTATTATCTAAACTTCGCAACTCAATAGGTCTCTATGACGCTCGAGTAAATCTCCGCAGCGTGGGCTCACCTACTATTAGTATAGATATAATTCTAATGGAGTTTAATCTGATTATTTTAGTCTCATTTAATTGGAAAAATATATTTTATATTTCCGTATGTATACTCGTTGCAACAAAAGTTATTAAACTTTTATGGTTCATCATTTATCAATACGCGTGTCGATTAATATTATATCAATGGCACGTGCAAAATAGTATTTCTCTGCAATCTGCATTACTGCATTCATTCTCATTCTTTCTATTGAAATAAGATTCAAATTTTTGTCTTCGTTCAAATAGAGAGACAACGAGAACGAGAGCACAGAGTGTTTATTCTACGTCAAATCGCTGGCAGATTTTCTCTTACGGCCGCTTTCTATACTGGATCTATAATCTAAAATAATTTCCAATCTTCATTGTCGATCTATGATTCAAAATTATTTCTATGATAATAGTGATCATAAATTACAACCAAAATGACATATTTCCTAAATTAATAATATCGGTACCCTTTACCGAGGAATTTAAGTAAGAAAACAATTGGCTCATAGTAAATACTTAACCGTCTAATCGGCTTCATTCGTCCACAGGACTTTGCTTCAACACCTGTGGCATGTGATCTTGTCTCTACGTCAATGACCCACTCATTACGTCTTATCGAGCGGCACTTACACTTACTGGCTTCAACCAGATGAAAGTATAAATATCGCCCAAGTCTTCTTCGCTATCGCAAGTACGTGTCAAAGTTTAATGCCGTCGTGGAAATTATCCATAAATTATAATTATAATTCATAAATTGTATCGGCGTATGGCACGCGAAGAGCTTTCCACTTCTGTGCCTTCTTATCTGAACTAAACCAAGGAGCGGGTTTAAGTATTCAGTTATTCGAAAATAATGTCAAAAAGAGTTAAATGTTTGTTATTATGCTGACAGCATTAGTTCGTAAATGTTTTATGGTAAATTTGAAGCCAAAATAAAATTAAACAAGGATTATATAAACATTGTATATTTAAATAAATAATTTCCTCGTGAGTTAAATTTACATTTAGCATTATTGTTAATTTTCCTTAAACGATATGCGAATGCGTATCGGTGAAGCTAATAAAATGGATGCACTTCAACAGTTACATTTCTCTTATGGAAAAGGGATTATTTAAATGTTAGCTAATATTTATGAAAGCGGGCAATAGATAGGTTCCACTATCTCTCTATGAACGCTCTACATGTCCCAGATGAATATTTCCTGTAACATTCCCAGAGACTGCAATTGCGTATCGTTCGCAGCCGTCAGGTCGACGGTCACGTACTTAGCCGCTTGCAATATTTTCATACAGGACACATTTTCCGGGGCTAATTTCTGATACAGCTGAGCGTAGAGAGATTTAGCGCATTCGAAGTTAAATATTAACGGGTCTAAAATGTCCGCTAGGTCTGTTTGCTGGAGAAGGCAACACGCGTGGGCTAATGTCACGCAGAGCTGAAACAAAACGCTCTTCGTAGATAACAAAATAACACACAAATTGGGAATGAATACATACAACAGGGTACACAAAAAGTGAACCCAAGAGAAATAAATGTCGAAGCCGTACCTGTTCGATCAAATGGTCCTTATGCTTATATTCGGAGAAATCGTCGACGTTGGCAGCGTTCTGCATTGCCTCCATTACCCCTCTCCAGACGAGGCAGAAATGCACGTCGAAGTGCGCACGCGTCTGAGGCGCACGCAGAGCGACCGCCGCGTTTATTCGCACTTTCAGGTTCTTGCACTCTTGCGAGAGCGAACAGAGGTTGGAGAAAACTTGACTCTGAAATGACAACCAAGGTTAACCTCGTACGCTAAACCTTACTTTTTAATATACAGGTAGGTTCTAGCCTCCTGACCCTGACACGTCTTCTGTCAAGTTTGAGGCGGTTTCCACACGAGGTTTTCCTTCGCCGGACGAGCGAACGTTAATTGAGCACAAAATATGATTTTATATTAAATCCTTTTTAATATAAAGAGTCTTAAACCGTACGCGATTTTAAAACAAATGGTGACTTTCACCAGTATAATACTAGAACTAGTCTATACTCTGATTTTTAATTCACATATAATTCCGACAGCTATCATTTTTAGACATGTCAGAGATTACAAACCTTATTGGCCGGGCACATTTTTCAATTTCATTACGAATCTGAACATCTGAGTCTATACATACATTTTATTTATTAGTGAATGTATCCATTTTATTAAGTGCGGTGCTCCACATTAAAAGTGGTTTTACGGCGAGTGATAATTACGACCCTTTTCATCACAAACAGTAAAAAATGCACAAGTAAATATAACATTTTTTTTAAAGGTTTACTAAACCTGGAATTAGTAGGTTTAGTATTTTTTATTGCCAAAATGGGTAAAATCTGTCCCTTTTTCGGTGGAGAATTTTTTTTTGTAGCAACAGCTATTAAATGTCAGAATTTTATGGAATGTAAAATCAGAGTACAAGCGTACGACCAACCAGGCTTCAGAAGATGAACCACTCCTTATATGGAAATTGTATTCGTTTTTACAACAAACTCCCAAGCGAAATAAGGGAATTATCACTAAATAAAGTCTAAACTCTCGTTAAACGTAAATTAATCAATAAAGCTTTTTTATAAATTTGACGATTACATATTTAAATTATCTCATCTTTAAGATTGATTTGCTCCAGTTCAAACAATTTGTATGACTCAAAACTTGTCGCTGAATAAGAGTGGCAGAGAGTTTCTTGCCCGCTCTACGCTCCTCAATTACGAGCTGGTAGTAAATGTATATTTAGAATAATTTATCATATTTTCTGTTGCAGTTCAAAAGTGTACATGTTTACCTTTATGAATAAAGTTATTTTGAGTAAGAGTTACAATTACCTGCCACCCACTAAAACTCGTGAAGAGAGTATTATTTTTCATAGCGTTTCCTATGGCGTAGCAAGCGTTCCAGCGCACTTTCATGTTGCTGACTTTGCTCGCACACTCCACCAACTTGGATATGGCGACCTCGCAGAGGGGCTTCATTTGAGGGCGCTTCGAAAGGTTGTCTTCTCGAATGAGCCGAAGCATGTTTCCGAGGGCTCGGGTGGCATTCATTTTTACCTGGCAAATAAAGAAGGACAATAACTCAAACGCCAGGCATACAAACAAAACGAAAGTCCCACTTCGGTGAGATATCCACCTTATCGTTATCGTCGGCGCACTGCACGCTGACCTCCAGCAGACGCAATAATAGGTCATCGTCTATTCGCTCCAGTTCCGGGTCATCCCTGTGCAAGAGGGAACCGGACTTATTAAAACTGAATTGAGCTATTATTGTGAACACGATGTATACTAAAAAACTTTTAATTCGGCCCAGGGGAAGAGAGCAAACTTCCGCATCTCGGGTATCCGAGATCAAAGTTTTATATCAACCGGTTAAAGTATACCAAATACCCTAACACGGCTGAATGTAGCCAATGGTACGATTCATTGACGGAGTTTGATTGAGTAAACATTTATCGTATTGAACCGCAAAAAATTCCACAAATGGAAAGGTCGAGTTTCGTCTCAATGGTGTCAAATTCCGCAATCGGCATTCACGCGTCAACCGAGTGATGTTCGAAATCGTCAATTGAAGCATTTAGAGACATTGTCACCCCGGGCTCACGTGGAGATCGCTAAAAATATGTTACCAAACATAGTGCGTCATTTAATCGTATTTATAAACATTTAATCAAAAACAAAACACTCGAACCGACTACCGAGGTACGTAATGATTTTCCTCTTTGAGGAAGTTTTGTTGAAATGAGTTCAAAAATAAAATAATGTTGAATTGTAGATTTTTTTCGCACAATCGTGTAGGGCTCACATGTTAAGCACGAGGGCGTCGCTAAGATTGGCGAGGGCCCAGGCGGCTTTTGTCCTGACGACGAGAGCGGTCTCCGTCAGGGCCCTGAGGATGTTCTCGCCGCAATCGCTCACGAAGCACACGTCCTGCAAGCGATCGATTACGTAATAATATAAGGAGCCGGTCGGCGGGCGAACGGAAACGGAAATAATAATAAACATTGTATTCAATTCATTCAGTCAATTGTAGGGATCGGATGTCTTTGGTTTACTTTCCTTATAAATGTGATAATTATTTAAAATATTTGATAGAAGATCGATGTTTTAAGGAATTGGACTGAAAAGCTTAAAAGATGTCGAGATAACTAATCGCATGAGTATCGTGAAGTAATATCAGTCACCTCTCTGAGCGTCCGGTACATGACGGCCATGGCGAGCGCCCTGACGGCGGCCGCTCTCACGCTCGGCTCTTCGTCGCTGCACGAGCCCACTAAGAGGGCGCAACACACCAATCGCGTTCGGCGCTACAATAATAACACCCATGTTACTCTTACACATTGCTAATACAGAAATAATACTTTTTGTTACGAGACGTACCGACTGATGCAATTTTCACAATATATGACAAAAAATCAGTCATGCATTTGGGTAAGAGAAGTGTCATTCCTGAAGTCGTAAGTTCGAACCCCGGCTGTGCACCGATGAACACCAATCTCTAACTATGTGCGCATTTAACACTCGCCCGTCCGGTGAGGAAGAACATCGTGACGTAAGTTCCTTGGAAGGCGTGTATCAAGCACAGAAGGCTGACCGTCTGCTTGCCTATGAAGAGATGACTACGAAACAGACACAGAAACCTGAGGTTCAGGCCAAAAACGTTGTAGCGCTTTTATAGCTTACATCAGTGGTTCCCAACCTTTTTAATATTGTTACCCCTGTGAACTATGTATAAAACTGATTTTACCCCGCTTTCAAAATGATATCAAAACAAACAATACAAGTAAATACAAACATCTTTATTGATCATAAATTGCACAACAGTCTTACAATTTTAACGTATTCATACGTATAAACTATGGATTAATAATACTCAGTTACATTTACCAGTAGTGACTACTACTCCTACCTAACATAAAAAACTAGTGAATGTTGGCTCAGTGTGAAGGTTGGTATTGTTTTGCATTAACAAGTTTTTTAATGTTAGGTTTAGTTTCACTTAAAGCGCATCTCAAGTCATGTTCCACATTGAGACGATTTCTGGCCTTTGTTTTCAGTGTTACTAAAGTAGAAAACCCACTCTCACACCTGTAGGTGGTGGCAAATGGTATTAGCATTTTTAAAGCTCTGTTAGATAAAACAGGATACTCGGCACCTGTTTTGATCCAAAATGTGCTGAGATCATAATTCTGAAATTCTACTTTCAAAGTACTATTCTCGCGTAATCCAAGAAATTCCACTTTTGCCGCCACATCCTCGTCTCGAATAATATCATCATCAGTAGAAAACGGTCTTAATATCCAAGAGTTCGACTGACGATTATCCAAGTCCGGAAAATACTGCTTCAGTGAATCTATTATTGCAGATAAATGTTGAATCACAGAGTTTTTAAACGTGATTTCGTTTTGTTCCGTATTTACCAATTGCTCACACAGTTGTGTAAACATCGACACATCATCTGCTTGCACTCTGCGTTGGTAAAGTTCCAATTTACGCACAAAACTAGCAACTTTATCCTGCGCTGTTAAAATATTCGTCATATTTCCTTGCAATGAGAGATTAAGACCGTTAATTTCACTGAAAAAATCAGCAAGATACGCCAGCATTTCAACGAATATTTTATCTTTTATTTTTAAGAAAAACTCTTTCTCTTTTTGTGTTCTCTGTTTTTCCAAAAATAATCCTATTTCTTCACGAAGCTCGTACACCCTGTTCAAAACTTTTCTTCGAGATAACCAACGTACCTCTGTGTGGTACAAAAGAGAATTAAATTTTGCACCAACTTCATCGCATAAAACTTTGAAGATCCTCGAGTTTGTAGCACTGCCACGAATATGGTTTACAATTTTCACTACGTCATTCAACGTGCTAAGCAAATCTGGTGGAAGCGTCTTAACGGCCAAAGCGTAGCGGTGTATTAGACAATGATAAGGTAAAATTTGAGGAGCAACTTGTTTCACAAGTGCTTGAAATCCAGAACGAACACCCATCATGGAAGGCGCCCCATCTGTACAAACGCCAACCAGCTTTGACCAGTCCAGTCCGTTATCTTCAATAAATTGTTTTAGCGATTGAAATACGTCTTCGCCACGCGTAGTGGTGGGCAAAGACTTGCAAAACAGGTATTCCTCTTTTACATGGTCATTTTTGATATAACGAGTAAATAACAGCAATTGTGAACACGAAGCTACATCCGTAGACTCATCTAATTGCAGCGCAAACATATCACTTTCTTTAATTTCATCAATAACGGTTGCCAAAATATCGTTACTCATGTCTGAAATGCGTTTTTGAACTGTTGTATTTGAGAGTGATATTTGTTTCATCTTAGCCACATGTTGTTCGCCAATAACGAGCGATACTGCATCACACAAACAAGGTTTGATAAGATCCTCTCCAATAGTATGCGGTTTTTTGTTCATAGCAATACGATAAGAAATTCGAAATGAAGCTTCAAGACACGACTCGTTTGGCTTTTGCATATTTCCTGTGGAATCCATTCGCGAAGATTTCAGAACGCTCTCTTTTCTCTTAAAAAATTGTAAATCTTTACCTACAAACTCTTTGTGAACTCTCTCGAAATGTTCTTTTAATTTACTCGGTTTCATGCTCTCTGGATTAAGCACTTTATTACATAAAACACACTGAGGCTTTTCTATATTTCTGTCCACAATATTCGTAAAACCCCATTGTAAAAATGCTTCTTTATATGAGCGCTTTTTTCCGGATGTAGAAGCCATGACAACTAAAACAATCATAAAAAATGTTACAGATAATAGAGAAGTACATTAACGTAAAGATACCACGTACCATTCGTACGTACCTACGTACCAGCATCATTGTCATAAAACATACACAAACGTAAAACAAAAGTAAGTGGTTTAGAGCCCGATAAATAGTAATAAAATATAATTGATAAAAAATAGCATTGTTTGTTGGTACTTACCTTCAAACACAGATTAGAATTAGGTATTTTGTTTCCTACGTAGGTAGGTATGCAATGCGAAACAATCGAAACGCGTTCGTCCACTCAAGCTCAAACACTGCTACTACACTACAAGGCACGCGAAGCAAGCGGAGGCGGCGGCGCGGGCGCGGGCGCCCCCCCTCACCGCCCGCTTGCAACATGGCGAACCGACGAACGAGTGCTAGAACGAGCACATTTTTTGTCACGTGCGGTACTGCGCAGCGCTCTGTAACTTTTATGTTTTTTTTCTTTCTGATAATTAGGTTCTTTGTTACCCCCGTGAAATAGCTGATTTACCCCTGTGGGGGTAATTACCCCCAGGTTAGGAACCCATAGCTTACATTAAAAGGCGGTGTCGTTCATTTTAGAATTGCATCAGAAACTCACAGGCAATTCCTTAAAGCACTGCTCCCCAATATTAGCGATGCAGTCGCATGCGACGACTTTGGCGGCCGAACTGTGATGGGCCTGCAGCACCGAGCACAGCGAAGACGAGAGCTTTTCCCACATCGACACGCGTTGGGCCAACGGAGGCAGTTCGTCTACTCTCGTGTACTCTGAAAAAACCAAACGCTTTACCCACGCGACCCACTGAGGATTATTCGCCATATTTAAATAACGAAACGTACCTAACTTCTGCAAGGAGTCCCCGATTATGCTGATGAGCCTCGCAGTTTGGAAGACCACATCCTGGTGTTCGTGTTGCAAGAGTTCGTGTAAAGTGTCCGTCACGAAATCTATTCGGGGCTTCAGCAGAAGCGGTAGATGGTGAAAGGCCATCGCCGACAGCACTTGCAGAGACTCCAACACGACCGGTATGGGCGATGGATTGCAGCTCTATAATTATAATTCAAAACTTAAATTGCCTATTTTAACAATTCTGTGCAAAACCGCTGGAAGGCTCGATAACCAAAAGATATTGAAGGAAAATCAACCCAAAATACAAGTTAATAATTCTTAATTAAGTTAGTAATAATTTTTTGGGAAAAGGGATACTTTTGTTTAATAAAATCCCGGCTCTTTCATCTCTGCCTTTTAATAAATTTAAGAAATGTATTAAAGAAAAGCTAAAAAGGCTTACTCAAAGTTAACGATTATCTAGTTCATAAAAGGGATAAGTGCTAGACAGGCTACTTCTCATTAATTTGCGATATTTGTTTTAAAATAAGTGTTGTTTGTTGATTTGCTATTTTAAAGAGTACCGAGAGTTTTTTACGCCGGCTTTTCTCGGCCTCTCGGCCTACACCCTTTGTCTTCTTTGCCGATGCATAGGGATACCTACAGATTAAAATTTAATGACGTGGAATAAGTGATATCTGCATCTTATATTCCATAATAAACATATTTTATTTTATTTGTTACAATAAAATATATAATTATAATATAATTCAGGTAATAAAATAAACATTCTACAAATAGTACTATGTTAATTAAATATTGGCTGATTTACATAATTCTTAATCACGTGAGAGCCGATAAGCCAAGTAAAACAATACTCACAATTTTGTCTAATCCTCTGAACTCCCATCCTATATTCTTAAAACAAATATCCAAAATCCAAATGTCGAAGTAAGTCTCTCTCGTGACGAACTCCATGTCGACGTCTTTTTGCAATTCCTCTTCCGAGAGCAGTTCATCGTCAGAATAGCCCTCTTCGAAGTCGTCACATTCGTTGGAAGCTTTATTCTCTTTGTCCGACGAGGCCGGCCTCGGCCTTACGTCTTTTTGTATAACCTTTAGTACTTCGTCAATTTTAGGGTCGATCGACAGAATACACCCCATCGTTATGAGAGCCCCGACCTGCAATGTCACCTCTGGAAAAAGAAAAATTTTAAGTAATACAATATGTCGAGTGACGTTTTAATAATTTATTAAAAAAGCGAAATCACCTTTATGAACTAGGAACTTCCTAGTACAGCTGACCAATTCGGAGATCAGGCCGTCCTGCATTTTATGGTAAGGCGTGGCCTGGACCAAAGCGGCGCAGCACTTCAACGCCACTAGCGAAACGACCTGACTGCGTTCGCATTTCAGTATACAGGCTAGAATCTTGTGCATGCGCACGACTAAGTAGCCGAGGGATACTGAAAATGGTATAAATGATGAATTTGATTTTTTGCTGAAAGGAAAACTTGCTTTTAGATATTTCAAGAAATTTGTTAAATTTATATTTGCGAAGCTATATATAGACAAATATTGAAAAAAATACACTATTTTAAATACTCGTGAGATTTCTCACCTGACTTCTGCCTGACCCAAATAAGTCTTGGACCCGGACAACAAAGCCAGTATGACACCGAGAGTACTGGCTCTGCTGCTGGCCACGGGGTCCGTGACGACACTATAGGCCAGGCTCCTTTTCGAGCTTTCTTCTCCGAGCCAATTATTATCGTAGGGCGAGTTAGGTAACAGAGCAAACCAATAGCCGAACATTTCTCGTTTATCCTTTATCTGCGGATTATATTTCATTCCGAGTTATTATATCGCATATATACATATACAAGATAATATTAATAATTTGAAAGATCACCTTGAATAAAACCAGGAATAAATTGGAAGCACTCTGCCGTACCCTAGACTTTAACGCGACTAACTTTGTCTCCCTGCTGTTCTCCACGTCTGACATATCAGAATCACTGGTCAAAGTCCAACAGGGCCGTGCTTTCTGTGAATCTAGATAGTTTTTGCTGGCCGGTTTGTAAGCTGAACTGTTTTCAAAATTATCTATATCCTTCAACAAGCTTTTGTCAGATACTGGGATTTCTTTCTTCAAGCCCTCTATAGCATTGTTACGATGTTTTCGAACTTTTTGTTTCTAAAAGATTATTAAAAATTAAGACTGGGAAATATCGCTTGTTTTGTTTGTACCAATTCAGTGCAAGATAGATCTATGTATGTACCATACGATTTTCAAATCTCGTCTCGCATTTTGTTGGCTACGACTGCATTTGATTAAAAGTAAGAAGAGTAAAACTGAACTGAACTTCTTTCAGTTCTAGTTAGTATAAATACTTCTTTGTGGACTTTGGATTACTGGCTCTAATTTTTTAAATTGTTTTGTAGTGATTGCCTCACAGCAATATCATATTAATAAAAAATCAGGACACATTTAATCATTTCTATAAATAAAGATATCACCTTGCCTCCCCTCACACCAACCGACTTCACTGGAGCAGCTGCAATGGTTTGTTGAGCAGGCATTATTTTTTCTGGCCTACTGTTCTGTGGTATGAGACCATACAGAATAAAATACTGACTAATCCCCATCAACTCTGGCAATGGAATGTCTTCTCCTTGATTGTTAAAATACACATGAGACAGCACTCTTAATGCTGAAATTACAACCTGAAAAAAGCAACTATATTTTAAATATATATAATATAGCACATTAATTACATATTTATATCAGCAGGTAATTTGTACATACATGCTTTATACGATAATCATTTTTTCAATTTACTCACCTTGCAATATAAAAATTCATCTTCATTTTTAACAAAACCATTCATTAAATATTTTATAATGATCGAAGAGATGTTTTGTTTTATATCCATGGTTATTTCACATTCATTTTTTTCATCAATTATTGGCAATAAACATATAATGCATTTTAAAACTAAAAGTGATATTTGTAATGAATTTTGAGAAGTCAAATAAATTCTATTTTCAACATCTATATATTTGACAAGTAACCCTTTTTGTCCAATTAATTCATTAATAAACTAAAAAAAATCAGTACATTAATAAATATTTCTAATAGTTAATTTATTTATGTCTAAGAATGCAAAATGCTAATTCTGTAAAGAATACAAAAAGCACATTTGTACTATCTTTAACTTTTACATTACCATAAGCTAAACCAGAACTTTAAATAATTCAATCAACCAGAACAAAAGAAGTCTCATTATGCAAGCATTCTGCTTCCATATTGTTATAACAGTAATACCTTTTGTCCAATATGTACATGAGAATGCAAAATACATTGCATATTATGTAGTATATCAGGTAATATCAAGTCTGGGCCTGTTTTAATACAGTCTAAATGCCAAGAAACCACTTGCAACAAATATTCATTACTTAAAGGTATTATTTGCTTGGTTACAATATTGGTCATTAAGTGTGATGCTTTTGCAGCTAGAGCTTCTTCAGCTGGTTTTATGTATAAACATATCATTTTAAGTAAATTAGCAGCATCCTGAAATATATTTAGGCATGTTATTCAAACTATACTAAAGGTAAAAATATTAGCCTCTTATCATTCAATTTATATGCTTACTTTTGCAAGCAATGTTCTGAAAATATTTAGGCATATTATTAAGGGATTATACATATAAACTTCCTTTTTTAAGAAATTTGCAAGACATTTTGTAGAACATCTACTTACATTTATTCTAACACAAAGTTGTGTTTTGTATAGCTTTGCATTTAGCTCATCAATAAGGGAATTAATAAATCCTGCATTATGACTTTTGTCAGGTAATATATTGCAAAGTTTTACTGAAACTGATGAAAACTCTTCAAACTTGCTATGATTCATATTTGGTAATCCTTGAGGAAGATGCTCTTGCAGATCAGAATGTAATAATTTCACTTAGAGGCTATAATAAAATGAAAGTGTTATTTAAACGAAATAACAACCAAAAAATACAATAAATAAGTACTTTTGTGTAAGAATATATTTTTACACATAAAATCTAGAGAACCTGAAAAATATTAAATTATTTTTACTTTACGTCAATAACTTGCATAGACAAACTATTTATAGTCTGTATATTCTGTGTATTTTTAAAGTATTTTCTAAGCTCATATCACAGATTACAATTCTTAAATGTCGTACATTTTGATTTACAGGCTAAGAAAAAAATTGTCAGATTGGTATAATTGCAGATTAACAAGATCACTCTTGCTAAATCTAGCCCATAAACACACGTATTTCAAAATATGTAAAATAATATATTATTGCTTTTTTTCTCTCCATTACTAACAAAAAATGTTATAACTACTTTACCAATTTGCGCCTATGAAATAAACTTAAATTAGGTAGTGGAAGTACCTACTGTTATTCATAGTAACTATATTTGGCTTTTAAGTTTTAACTAACTTCTTTTTTCTTGTTTTTTCTATTGAGTGTTGACATTATCTTTCACTGTAGACAACGACGTACGATTCTAAATAAATCTCTAAAAACTCAGTTTAGTTCCATAATCTTTTTAACTATGTCGTTTTATAAATTCAATCACAAAGGGAAAGGAGTCTCCCAGCATCCATGGGAACGTATCATCAAAGACCACTACCGAAACAAAATAAAACATATTCATAATTCAGTACACAACTCGAAGTACCCAAAGACTGAGAAAAAAACCCCGCTAATTGATAGAGTGAAATTTACGATTATAGGCGATATGGTGACAAAGGAATTCAATTACTGCATCAATATAGCTAAAGGGTTATTTAAGTATCGACCCGCGGTTTTTGAACCGCCTGTAATAAGAGGTTATGTTTTACTCATTTGTAAAATAGTGAATACTGGCACTTAAAACTTATACTAAAATTTACCTATTATTAAAGACTACTACTAGACATAATTCGTAAATCTTACCTAGCTAAATAATAGGAGGTGTTCTACAAGATGAAAGTACACGCCTGAGTTCCTAGTAGTGGGATAGTAAAGAACCCTGTACCTACGGTGATCTTGAATCATAATTTTCTTTTATATCAGCTTTGACACAAATGTGTCGTTTGATGTTGTGTTTTAGGTACTATATTAGAGGTACACATAAAAAGCTATTTAACTGATTATTTCACGTATTTTAACACATAATTAGGAGTAGAGATCGCTCGAAAGCGATAAGGCCGCCACTTGCCCTCCCTTTAATTCGATTATTGTATTGGTACTTCATTGCTTTACACTTGCAACGAATTGGTAATAAATAATAAAATAAATAAATATATATTTATGTATGTTAGAATTAACAATGATTAAATTTAACATTAACAGGAGTGACAACAGTAGAATGGCCGCATGTTTTGAGTGATATAAAGAGACAATACGGTACAATGGCGTATTGCTTGGATAATTCTGTGGCTATAATTCTAAACGATAAATTTCTCGGTGGCGAAAAGGAATTCAGAGAAATAATTATTGCTAAATATTATTATCATATTATATTGGATTATTATAAGGAAGGTGTCGATCAATTCGTCAAATACATCCGAGCCTCTGGGGTAAAATTCGACGTTTATACTGTTTAACGTTTTTATGTTTATTTTTGTCACAAATGTAGTGTTTATATAAAAAACATTTTTTCCTAGAGACCCTGCGCATATATGCACATTTCAATCGACTCGGAACACAGTGGCACGATGATATTCATGGTTCGTATGTATTCATTATTAATTTGTGCTATTTATACAATATTGTAAGAATACGGACTAGTCCGTATTATGTTCATAGGTACATAACTAATAGATATTACTTTGCTATGCTAATACCTATATTAACAAAATACAAAATTTCACTTAATAATTAATAGGTACAATATCACCACCTCAGCTTAGCAGGTTACACTACTAGGTAACAGTGTAACTATAGGTACCTAAATCTGAAAATCAGACGCAGAAAACTTTGAAGTCAACTTTAAATTTAAGCGGCTTTTTTAGCTTTACGCAGACGTAGTACCCAATACTTGTGTAAATTTTCTCCGATTATGTCAAACCAAGAGGGGTGGCTATGCTGGGACACCCGTACATAGAATAGTCAAAGATGGTTGGATACAGTGCGGTGGTTTTGGTCTGAAAAGTACAGATTTAGAATGCGAGAACTTTATCATCCCTCATGACAGGCGGGGGGTGTTATGCATGGCTAACGACGGAAGGTAAGAACTTACTTTGCGAAATATCTATGAATTTATTTTTAGAAGGGGTTCGTTTCAGGTTTATATAATCTATTTTGTATTTTAGACATGTGGATTGCTCAACTCAATTTTTTGTTTTGCTACAACCAGCTGCGTGGATGGCGTCGAAATACGTTGCTTTTGGTCAACTAATTGAAGGCGAATCAGTTTTACAAAAACTTGAGACAGTTCCTACTTGGTACGAATCTCCAATGTCAGAAATTTTGATTCACAAAGCTGGTATACTAAACATGGAGTGTGAGCATATACCGATAAATAAAGGAACTAATGAGTACATACAAGGACACATAGAAGACTTGATTGCATTAGGAGATACATTGATTGAAGTGAGAATTTATATATAGTTTTAATTTTGTTAATCTGTTTCTCCGTTTAAAAACCTCCCAATATATTATATGTTATGGTCCTTATTGGGGTGGGAGAAATTTCTGTTTATATTTCACTGAAAATGCTAAAAGCTTCGAACAAACCAGGTGTGACCTATTGTAGAAGTACCTACTTTGTACCTATAATTTCGCGTATTTATAGGAAGTTCTAGCAAAAACATTTTTGGAGATCCAATTTAGAGAAGTAGCTGGCGTAGCAGTAGAAGGCGAGGGTGAGGAAGCAGTTGGCGAAGAAAAAAGAAACATTCGGGCAACGGAACGGTAATACGTCACTATTGATTCAAAATAATTACCATTGGATGAAATTCAAATAAGTAATAATTGTGTATGGTCTATAATCTATATACAATTAGTATTCAACAAAGAGCGGTTGGATTCGTCGATGACCAGTCACTTTTGCATATATACGATTTTGGGTTTATCCGTGTTCGAATACCATTGCACGCTTCACCGTTTTGTGGAACCAGCCGCTCGTCGAGGCATTTCCAATACGACTAAGGGTCTGTCAAGAAAGGAGCGTACCGATTACTAAAAGGTCGGCGACGCACTCGCGAGCCTCCTACCATTGAGTCATCGGTATCATTTAACATAAGGTCCAAAGGGTTCTATAATAAAAAAATAGTATGCTTATCAAACATTTAAGATCTTTTTGCCATAAAATAATTATAAGCCTCTGATGATTCAGGTTTATCCGTAAGAAAGAAGAAATAGACAAGCAATTAAAGAGTCAATCTCTTGTTGACCCTCGGAGACCGTCAGCGGCCGAAAGCGAAACAATAGATGAAAATAACGAATTTGATGTAGAACTTTACGAATACGAGTCTGAAGAAAGCTCGTATAAGCACATTTCTCTCGTTGGCACTGTGAGTCTGGTCGTTCAACCGGAAAAACCTTTTTATATACCACTAACCGATGTACTCGATCCGGAAGAGATTGAATCTACTTATGATTTGAAGAAGTAAGTACCTTTACATTAAAAATTAACACTAACCTATAGTGTTGCACCCGTAAAGCGGATATTTTAATTAAGAGAAGAGATAGCTTGTCAAACCTTGTAGTGTAATATAAGAAAATATTTTCAAGGTTTTTAAAAGGTGATTATTGTCTGGAAAGTGATCTGGAAGACAAACTGCCAAAAAAAATAATTGCGCAAGAGCTATCATTCATATCAGATATTTTTAAATTTGGAGAGGATTCAGAGGAAAGCTCAGGTAAACATAATTAGTTTAGATGTAGTTACTAGTTAGTATACCTAATATAAATCCAGGATAATAAGACGTTCACTATTATTTCAGTCGAGTCATTAGAATCTGAAGACGAGCGTGAAATTAGGAGATACCTTAAGTAACGTATTTCCTAAAATATTTTTAATTTTACCTATTATTTTATTACTTGTCTTACATTCCCACTTTTTGTAAGGTTTAATGTGGATCGTGTCAGCTTCGCTGGTGACGTCATTAAGGGAATCGCTCGAGGTGTTGGAAAGTGTAATCTGTTTGAAGGAACAAGAAAGTAAGACGTTTTACAATACCAAATAAAAAAATACCATTAACTGTAAGCAGTTTCTCGAATAAATGATTTGCTAGATACACCATCTGAATGAAATAATATAGGTACTTATATATTTATACAAAGTATATTTTTTTAGATCGGAATTAATAACGGATGAAGAATTGAGAAGGTTTAGGTAAAGTACAAGTCTTATATAAGCAAAGGATAAGTATATTTTTTTTTTATTAAAGTTGGTGATTGTTTTTATTTATTTTTTATGTTTCTAGAATAGCTTCTGTTGATCGAAAATCGAGAGACATGGGCGAAAAGTAAGAACATTCTTTTTATGTTTCTATAAAAAACGTTATTTCTTTTTAATTATTTTTATTTTCTTTTTAAGAAAAGTCTCAATAAGCGTCCCGTGGGCCGTCAGAGAACCCAGCAAAATTAAAAGACGACAAACGGGATTTGTTCGTATGGAGGACTTGGAAAAGATTCATATCATACAAAGGCTCAGTTCGCACGAATTCGACGATGACGATGGTTCACCGGCTGGCAGTCGGTAGATTTTTTTTTACGATAAAATATTAGCTTAAAATTGGGCGACAATAGATTGTGTTATTTTAAAGTTAGATAATGACGGGTGGAAGCTATATTTATTATATTTCACTGAACATATCTTATTATCAGATTGTTGAATAAATGTTTATGCGTTTCTAAATGAAATGACAATAATCCTTTTATTCGGGTAGAACTATGCTCTGAGCATAGTTTTCCTGAAGGCCTGTCGGTCTTAACAGACCTAGCTGAGCTATTAGTTATTTCCCTTAATGCATTTTCGATTTGATATAGGAAAGTGCGCATAGCGGCGTCGGCGGTGGCTGCTCAAACTGGATCTAGGCCAATGCGTAGACCGACAGGCTTTGTGAGGCCGTCTCCTTTGAAAATGTCCGACTCCGACATTGAAGTCCGTAGACAATCCGTGTTGACCCGTTTATACGAGAACGTGACTTTGGATGATGACGACGACGGTCCCACGCTAAAGGAATACAGGTATAATAGGTTAACCCTATTTTTTTATAACAAATTCAATTATGAGAAATCTAATCGGTCAATCGACGTCAGGCCCGCCGGGGGATCGCAACACAAAAACGTGATGTTGACCTACAGCTCGCCAAATTCCCGTATAAAAAGCGACGAAAACGCAAGAGAGAAATATCTCAGGCATTCGTTAACAGCGGAAAAAGAATCATTTGAGGAGATACTCAATCTGCAGCACGGCAAAAAGTTCGTAGCTCGTAAGATATCCTCCGATTACGTCAAAACTATTGACCAAGTGGAACAAAATACAGTCGAAACGTCCATAAGGAGCGTCGAGTTCTCTAAAAGCCGCCCTTCTATGTCCGTGTCCCAGTATCAAGCGAAGAACCAAGAGTACAAAAAGAAAATTAAAAGCGTGTCCCAACTGAAGGAAAAACTATGTTCTAAAGAGAGTGGTTAGTAAATGCATAATAATATAATTATAAATTTGTATTTTCGTACTAATATATTGTTTCATCTTTAATTGTCTTTTATTTAGGAATGAGGTCATCCGGGTTACGTCTTCCCGGCGACACGCCGCTCTATTCAGAGACAAACGTCGCTTGAGTTCTAAACTTTTTAAACAATTTTACTTTTGGAAATATATGTATTTTTTAATAATAAAGAAATAAACTAATTAAAAACTAACTGTTGTTATTCGAAAAAAACTGATGGAAATAAGTAATATTTAATTTCCACTTGTGTAATACTAAGGATATATAAAGGTTCATCACAGAGGGGCCCATATTTAATGCAAAATACGATTCTGCTAAACCATAATTAAAAAACAATATTGGGTACGATGTATTTTAATATTTCTTTTATATCGTTTCAATCAAATTTTATACTAGAAAAATCACGTAAAAAACCTTTCTGAATTTTGTGACTAACGTTGCATTTATACAAATTCATTCTTATATGCAATCAGTCATTTTAGACCTATTCCAAGTTAAACCTTACCTAAATCTGTAGCATAATTAATTCTTTTAACACCCTGATTCGATTCATGCGTTTATTATACCCGTCCTACGTCGCTATACCTTAATCGGCTGCTATAAGATATATTTCATAAAAATAACAAAAAGACGAATAACGTAACAAGTTGGGGAACATTTAAAACAATGGCACGCAAAAACACCGGTAGCATGTAAAATAATAGTACATAATGTACAGCTTTTTTGCTAAAATCGTTATTTACATATTCATTTATATACAAGATTAATTTACACTAAACAATCTCGAGCTCACTAGGATTAGATCGGTACATTAAAATCGGCTACATATGGACTGTGGTGAAAACGCCCAAACATTATTCAAATAAAAGCGAAGCTATTTTTGTAGCCAAGTGATCGTGCACTCGAAAATTCTAAGATTCGAAGACCCTAAAAAGACACTAAATTATGTCCACCCCATGAGGTCTAGTGACCGTGACCGTGTCCGTGTCCGTGACCGTGACCCGCAACACCGTATCCGTTGGGCGGGGCCCTGTTGTTGTTGACGTTGTTGCCCTCCGCGTTGTTGTCGGCGTTGGCGTCGGTGTTGTTACGAGCCTCGAGTTGCTGTTGCCACATCGACGCGTAGAAGCCGCCTTGGGCGAGGAGCATTTCGTGGCTGGCAAATTACAAATCATTTAATATTCGTACACATAGACCGTTTTCTTGTACATTACGCACAAACCACACGAATGACTCACTTTCCCCTCTCGACGATCTCCCCCTCCTTGAGCACGAGGATCTCGTCGGCGTGAATGATCGTGGACAGTCTGTGGGCTATGATCAAGGTGGTCCTGTCGGCGCACACTCGGGACAGGGCGGCCTGAAACGGTTCGACGGTCAACGATGCGTCTTCCGACAGTAATCTATCCCTCGAGGACGACGAGACCGACCTGAATGTTCCTCTCGGTGTGGGTGTCGAGGGCCGAGGTGGCTTCGTCCAGCAGGACGATGGCCGGATTCTTCAGAAGGGTCCTGGCTATCGCTATCCTCTGCTTCTCTCCGCCGCTCAACCGAAGGCCTCTCTCTCCGACCTAACGTTATAATGAGATGGATTACAGCTTGTATTAATAATAATAATAATTTATTTGCAAGAATAGGGTACAAAAATATTCTGGTAGTACAATCTGAAGTTCGCATATTCTGCCACACGTAATGGCGTGCGAATTTCTCTGTCTTAATATAATAAGATAAAAAAATTCATAGAAGTTACATATTAATGTTACGACATTACGAGTCATATGACTCGTAATAATGATATCATTATAGTCAATACTCATAATATTTTATCACTACATGATCACATTATTAAAATATATTATAACGTTATCAAATTAGTATAAATTATAAGGTTTCTCCCAAATAATCATTAATAAAATAATATTTTTTTCCAAAGTAACTTGATAAATTATCATTCTGATGATTTTGTTTGATCTGCTAGTAAAAATCATTTAGATGCAAATAAACAGAAATGACCTGCGTATCATAAGCGTCGGGGAAGGTAAGTATTTTGTCGTGGATGTCGGCATTTTTGGCTGCCGCTATCACGTCCGCCGACGACGCTTCCAGTTTCCCGTACTGGATGTTGTACCTGCCCAAACGAATATATTCAATGTTTAGCCACGAGACGGTCGGTAGTCGTCTGATTCTCTCGTCCTGCGCCATCGAGATCACCTGACAGAGTTGTTGAACAGCACCGTATCCTGAGGCACCACTCCGATGTTGGCTCTCAGCGAGGCCTGCGTGACGGTGCGCACGTCTTGGCCGTCCACGAGCACCGCTCCCTCGTTGACGTCGTAGAAGCGGAACAGCAGCCGCATAATCGTGGACTTGCCGGCCCCGCTCGGCCCCACCTGAGTCAACGTAACGCGTGAGTCGTCACTTCGGCGAGCCGTCGACGTACTAGGAGAAGAAGCGCCCGCTCACCAAGGCCACCGTGGAGCCCGGCGCCACCTTGAAGGTGACGTTGTTGAGCACCAGCCTCTCGGGCCCGTAGCCGAAGGACACGTGCTTGAACTCGATCCCTCCGCGCCTCACCAGCAGCTCGGGAGCCCCCGGCGCGTCCTTCACGTCGCTGTCCACGCGCATCAGCTCGAACATGTTCTCCATGTCAACGAAGTTCTTCTGGATTGCCCTGCGGGAGGAGGTGACGTTGACTCGGCACAATCCTTTCCATTAGCAATATACGGTACTGTTTTACCCTTAGCCTGTAATCTATATTGCAAATCTTTGCCTATCTATTAGATAGGTATGCTAGGTAATCAAAGGGAAGACTTAAAGGTACACCAAGCGCGAGCAGGTATAGAGTTCAACAAAGTTACACCTCTGTTTTCTAAATTACTAATTTCTAAATAAAATGATTTTTTTAAAAGAGTTTTCCAGTTCCCGTATAACATAGACACAACATATTTTATTTCTATCCCAACATCTGAAGAAGGCTAAGTTATTAATCATGTTAAATCGACACAAATGAAACCCTTACCTATAGTAAGTACCGAACCAATTCAAAGGCACGTAGAGTTGTACTATGTACGTTGCGAACAAGACGTAATCTCCGACGGTCAACTCGGCCGTATGCACCACCATGTGCAGAGCCAGCAGCGACCCCGCAAGTAATCCTGTGGTAATCGTGTAAGTATCGAACATTTCATAGTCATTAATGGTTTTTTGTATTAAAAAACATCCAGTTTTAAAACTAATACAATTGAAAATCAATAAATATAGTTTAAAAAAACTATAAAACACGCTTTTAAAGCACATCAAACTAAAAAGTGAAAAATAATTCCTAATTTAGGCTGAGGCTCTGTGCCATATTTTTCGTCTATCGAGCAACCCACGCTTTTTCACAATAATACCAGTATTTTTTGTTCATTACCATTTTCAGCCTAAATTAGGAATTATTTTTCACTTTTTAGTTTGATGTGCTTTAAAAGCGTGTTTTTTAGTTTTTTTTAACTATATTTATTTTCCACTTTTTAGTCCTAGCAGCAATATGTGTTGTCTCAATTTAATACGATTAAATATATGTCTCAATTTAATATGCTTTGTGGACTTTTTTCGAGATAAACCTATGAAATTATTATATTGTCGCGGATTCTTTATAAGTATACAAAGTTTGAATTAAATCTGTCCGTTTAAAGTGGGTCAAAATCGAAGGAGTCGGTTACATACATACATACATACATACATATATACAGGTGAAGCTAATATAAAGCGTGTAAAATCCATTTTTTTCAGTAAACAAATTGTGCGCGTTTCAAAATAATTTCCGCATAGTTTTTAAGATCAAATTAAGTTCGATAAAAATATCTATGAATCGCTTTAAATCTATGAATTTCCTCATACGCGGACGTTACGACTTAATGAATGCACAAAACTAGATCAGGCCTGTTACGAAATGTCTGCATAAAATGCAAATTCACGCAAATGCGTAACAAGCCCAAATTCAAAATTATGTAGAACATACTTTTATAGAGTTTTCGATTACAATCTCCGATTGAGGCAAATAAGCATTTATGGATATTACGAAAGCGGTAATCATTTAATAAACTATACATGTTCCAATTGTACGTCATAGCTCTTCTGAGATAACTAATTACTATTAACGATAAGGCAGACACTTCATTGCTAACGCGGAGCTTCTCGCTTGCCTCATGACTGAAAACTTTTATCTGCGTGTGCGCAATGATATAATATACCTTTCATTAAAAAAAAAAGTTGGAATTCATTAAATATATACCGAGATTTCATTTTCCTCGTAGATGTAGTATAAGAAATGGGATTCGGTCACTTCCTGCCCCGATGAACTATGTACAAATGAGTTTATCATTCAGCGGAGACACTTTCTACATCCAATTGACATATATTAGTTCTAAACGGAATAATTAGCTTTTCCACATTAATAAGTATTCAATTACAGGTACGTTTATAAACAAACAAATTAAAACCGGTGTAATCAATTATTCTTTACAATATTTAAATCAATAAACAATTGCAAGATAAAACATCAATTACACGCACAATCGACACTCAATGTAACAAGTCGTAAATAACTCACCCGAGCAAATGATAATATTCTGCATCGTATTTAGTATATTTAGGGTAACCAACGATTTAAATTCTTCTTTCTGAAACAATAAATAATAATAAATGCGCTGCCAACGGTATACGGTCGCTAAATGTCAGATGTAAAGTATTCTTACCTGATAATGTTGGATGGCCCCCTTGTAAGAGACCACTTCGTAGGCTTCGGCGCCATAATACTTGACAGTCTCGTAGTTGAGCAGGGAGTCGACTGATCTGGCCTTTTGCTCGTTATCGGCGAGATTCATTCGCCTTTGGAATTTCGTCCGCCATTCCGTTACTGCTATTGTTGCAACTGAAAAATATTTGAATTGTATATAAATTATAATTTACAATACAAAAAGGTCACTTTAATGCATATCTAAACGCTAAATGTACTAACTGATATAAAGGACCATCGTGAAGAAGACGATGAGTCCGAACCACACGTTGTACTGCGAGACGAAGTACACGACCGCGACGATGATGTCGACGAGCGTAGGAGTTATAGAG